ATATATATATATATCACATGCACAAAAAGTCATCAGATAAGTAGCACTTATAAATCACCTTTGCTACAATAGTAGTTTATGTGTCAAATCTTTGTTACTTTTYATTGATTCATCTAAAAAATATAAACAAAGTGTGTTTCTGTGACAAGCAGGAAGTAAAGTCCATAAAGGTGTAATTTAAAATTTACTATTTGCTAAGTTGTCTGTTTTTTGTTGGCAACACTAATTCATCCCTTAAATTTAGGAGCCTTTTATAAGTGACTCATAAGTCAGAGTCGAGCTTCTTTAAAAATGTTGAAAGACTTTTATAACACCTTTAGAGGTATTATTCAAGACCACTTTAAAACACTATTTTCAAAGGCTGGCTTCCTGGAAAAAAAATAACGCTAGATGACTTAAGACATTTGCACAATACTGCACCTAGAATTTTTGATCAACTACACTATTTACAATGTTATACAAATTAAACGAGAAAGCATGTCAAGTGGCTCCTTTGTTACAATCCACTGCAGGAGCTGAGYTACAGGCTCAGTGGTTTCAACTCTTCAGGGGAATTATTTCCTTTTTTCAAGTAAAACTCAATTSATAGCAAAGCTGCATTCTGAGACAAATTAGATACATGTTTGATGTTATGTGTTTCACAAAGAAGTGTCTGTCTGTGGTATACTGCTTGCTTTTACTGCAAGTCATTTCCATTCATTTGTGTTTTGCTTTTGGCATATAAAAGCAGAAAATGACAGGCAAACACATTGCTCATCAGACTGAATTGTCCCAAGTTTTAAACCAAAAAACCATTTGAGCTTCATGGTACAGATTCAAACTCTTACAAACAAAAAACAAACAAACAAAAAATAATAAAAAAATACAGAATTAAAAAAAGTACTTAACATAAAATCTGGCTTACTTTTGACCAATTCTGTCTTGTCGATGACCGTTCGTATCTCCAACCCCAGGTGATCCTGAAACACTAGTCTGGCTTTCTGGAGATTCCGCAGTCTGTTTTTGTTGGCTTTATTTTGAGATTCGATTACTGGAACAGGAAAATGACGAGAAAAAAAAAAGAACAGCATGTTACATTTCAAATTGACTTCTGTGATACCTTGTAAACATCATTAAGAAACACAATCTTACGCTCTTTTCTTCTAGTTTGTTCCTCTGTAAGTTTTTGAATTTTCTGAATAATGTCGTTTTTCTGCATCTCCTTCTCCTGAACCTCAGCCATCACTTCAGATATGGCCCGCCGTTTCTCCTTCAGTATCTCACTTTTTTTCCCCAGGTCTGCAGAAACAAAGATTGTGACAATTTAAAAGTTAGTGTTAACTCTAAATTGCATTCATTCAGGCTGCAGTTTCACTGTCTTCTTTTCCTCAAAGTGTTCCAACAATAAAAATCAGATAAGAATGTGGATACCCCATCAAGCTGATGAATACAAATAATGTGAGGGACACAGAAACTATGTACAGTACAAATGTAATGCTATTTGTCCTTTTACTTACCTATTTTGAATTCCTGTATTGTCTCAAAAAGCTTCTCATCATCCTTCCATTTCTTCAAGCATGAATCTATAAAGATAATTTAAGATTAGCATGTATATAGGTTCCAATCAAATACAAATCAACAGTTCTAGTCAAATCACATAATTTGTTAGACCACTCTTTGTCATAATATGCCATTTAAAAAGCTTGTTTTATTTTACACAATTGTGTTTTAACTATAAGAGCAACATTTCTCTTGTAAGTTTAATTTAATTTAATCAAAATATCAGATTAGGCACACAGTTTTTACTAGATGTAATGTTAAACTTCACATCTATTTGAATTTGTATTCAAACTATTTAACTACCACAGTTTAAAAAGTCTTGGCTGTTTCATGACACAAGCACACMGAGAAACAACTTACCATGTGCCGTCTTCACAAACTGTCTGCGGGACTGGGCCACCTCTGCGGTTCTATCAATGATGTCTGAACACATTTTAAGGTGTTTTTTGTGGATCTCCTCCATTGCACTGGTGAAGCTGTCACTCAGGTTTGGGTCTGTGATGGACGTCATGGTGTTCTGGTCCAGGCAGTTATGAAAAAAAGAAAACAGCGCATGTGTACAGGTTTTTAAATTTAGCTCAAGCAAAAAATATTGTTGTTGTTGTTTTTAGCGATATTACTAATCATGTTTGAAAGACAATGAATGTATCTCGACCGATGGGAGGGACAGTGTACTAATACCGATTGATAATTATCGAAAAATGTGGTCCATCCGTCGTAAAGACGCACTTTAGCGTTAATGCTTTGTCTAATTTGTCTAACAACTTTCGACAGAAGTTTTAGCATGTTTACACTATGCTAACTACTGGAACCATCATTTACTTTAGCTGTAAATTTACCATTGCTAAGCCACAAATTACAGCTGTATAAACGGCTTTATCTAGTCTTAGATTATTTACTCACGTTTTTTTCAAGTGAAGGAGAAAAATACTTGTTTATATTAAAGTTCACTACAAAAACAGAGGCTCTGTTTTTAAAAAATCGCGGTCTAAGGCGGTTACAGAGTACCGGAAATTGCGTACAGTCGTGTTTCTTCTTCTTGGATTTAAAGGTAGTTGGGTTCAATTAAAATGTGAATACCGCCACCTACCAGACAGGAGTGTGAACAAAAGCTTGATTATAAAGTATGTTTTTCAATGGTGACATTATTTTACCTCCTATTTTTGACATCGCTTCCCCAAAAACACTTTGAATTTCTTGCTTGCTCAGATGCTTTCAATAGATTATTGATTTCTATTTCTACAAGTCTTTCCAAACACGTTTTGTAGGGTATATAAA